TCACAAATGTAAGCAAAGCTAGAGGCTATCGCAGAGGGCAAGTGTGGAGGAGGAGGGACTATGAGAGGAGAGGAGGTAGTGGGCGGCAGCTGAAGCTGCTGGCACATGGCACAACTGGAGCAACTGGCACACGGGCAACTGGAGCAACTGGCACACTGGCAACTGGAGCAACTGGCACACGGGCTACTGGAGTAACTGGCTCCGCGGCTAACTCTGAGCGGCAGGAGCAACGGACTCACGGGCGACTGGAGCAACTGGCTCACGGGCGACTGGCGCAACGGGCTCACGGGCGACTGGCGCAACGGTCTCACGGGCGACTGGAGCTGCGGGCTTCACGGCGGCCACCCCCCTTCAACCTCCCCAAACTATCCCACCCCCCTTTCACACACCCCTTGCTGCACTCTAGGTTCACTCGCACCCCACCCCCAAGCACCACTCTTTTGGCTCCCACACATCCACCCCCCTCAGCGGCAGCTGCAGCAGTGGGAGACAGAGGAGGAGGAGGAGCAGGGGAGTCCACACACCCGCCACCCCCTACTCGCCACCCCCAAACCCTAACACAGGACAGGGCGGGATGGCGGGTAGGGAGGTTACGGGGGGGGGGGGGGGTGATTACGGGGGCCGACGCGCGGCCTCCCATGGCGCCAGAACAGGCGGAAGAAGGGGCGACGCGCGGCCCCCCAGGTCGCCCCTCCCGTCGCCTTTCGTGGCGACCTGGGGGGGGGCCGCGCGCGGATCACAGGGACATCTCGTCACCGCCACCGCCGCCTCCGCCTCCACCGCTGCCACCGAAGCCCCCACTTCTGCCTCCACCCCCACCCCCACCCCCTCCTTCGCCTCCACCGCCACTACCTCCTCCCCCGCCACCTCCTCCAGCGCCCTTGCCCCGCTTGCCCTTGCCGGTGCGGCGCCTCTCGCTAGGAGCAGACGCAGTGCTGACTGACTCGGTGCCAACAAGGTTGACAGCAGCAGCAGAGGCAACGGAGGGCAAAAGAGGAACGGGGGAGCACCCCTCAAAGAAAGGGGTACGAGGGTCACCACGAGAGGCTCCTACAGCGGTAATACTAGTCTCTGCTGCAAGGAGGCGCTCCTCGAGGAGGTCAACGGTGAGTGTGGTAGGGCAAAGAGAGAGGAAGTGGTCCCTGACGGAGCGAAGGGTGTCAGGAAGCCAGGTGACTAGGTAGTAGAGGGTGATGTACATGGGGGGGGGGTTCTTGGCGCAGAACTCAGCAGGAAGCGGGTGTCACTAGTGCGGAGGTGCGTAATGAGGTCAGTGACTGTGGCAAAAGCGGCAAGGTCAGGGAACAAGTACGGGAGCATGAGGCGGCTAAGGGCAGCAGTGGCAGGGGAAGAGTAGCGTGCAACGACAGCGTCGTACAGAGTCTTAGCACTCTTGTACTGACTAAAGTGCGCGCGCTCAGTAGACGGCAGGTGACTACGCACAGCAAGGCGGCAGCAGCATCGCGTGTGAGCCACTGTGAGTGAACAGCACTGTCAGCATCAGCAGCAAGGGCAGTAGAGGCACCAGACGTGAGATCGAACAGTGAGAGATCGTCCTTGCTATCGCACTGTAGGAAAAGCTGCAGATCATCTAGCCAGACATCGAAGTCAACCGCTCGACCCTCAGCATCAAAGGTAAGAACACTGGGACTAGCCATGACAGGAGCAGCAGCAGGCTAGCAGCAGTAGCAGTGCAACTCGGCTAAGCGACGCGGCTAGGCAGGGCAGTGCGACTCGGCAGGGCGGCTCGGCAGGGCGGTGCGGCTCGGCGGCGCGGCTCGGCCCGGCAATGCTCTTACCAGGGGCGAGGCCGGGGCAGGGCCGAGGGAGGGCCGGGGCAGGGCTGCGACAGGTCCGGGGCAGGGCCGGGGCCGGGCCGCAAACGATCCGGGGCCGGGCCGGAGCAGGGCTGCGTCAGGTCTGGGACAGGGCCGGGGCAGGGTCGGAGCAGGGCCGGGACAGGGCCGGGGCGTGGCCGCGACAGGTCCGGAGCAGGGCCGGGGCCGGGCCGCGGCAGTGCAGGAGCAGGGCCGGGGCAGGGCCGAGACAGGGTCGGGGCGAGGGCCGGGGCAGGGCTGCAACAGTGCCGGAGCAGGGCCGGGGCAGAGCTGCGACAGGGCCGCAGCAGGGCCGGCGCAGGGCCGCGACAGGTTGGGGTAGGGCCGGGGCAGGGCCGGACGGGGCCTTACGGGGCCTGACGGGGCCGCTAACGGGGCCTGACGGGGCCGTACGGGGCCTCTAACGGGGCCTGACTGGGCCTTACGGGGCCTGACTGGGCCGCAAACGGGGCCTGACGGGTCCTTACAGGGCCTTACAGGGCCTTACAGGGCCTTACGGGGCCTAACGGGGCCTTAAACGGGGCCTGACGGGGCCTTACAGGGCCTTACGGGGCCTTACGGGGCCTTAAACGGGGCCGTAAACGGGGCCTTACGGGGCCTTACGGGGCCTTACGGGGCCTTACGGGGCCGTACGGGGCCTTAAACGGGGCCTTACGGGGCCTTACGGGGCCTTACGGGGCCTTACGAGGCCTTACGGGGCCTTACGGGGCCTTAAACGGGGCCGTAAACGGGGCCTTACGGGGCCTTACGAGGCCTTACGGGGCCTTACGGGGCCTTACGGGGCCTTACGGGGCCTTAAACGGGGCCGTAAACGGGGCCTTACGGGGCCTGACGGGGCCTTACGTGGCCTTACGGGGCCTTACGCGGCCTTAAACAGGGCCATAAACGGGGCCTTACGGGGCCTTACAGGGCCTTACGGGGCCGGCGCTGGCTCTAAGGGCAGGCGCAGGGGCCGCTACGGGCCTCGAAGGGCAGGCGCGACGCGCGCGTCGAGCAGGTAAGAAAAATTTCAGTGGTGGGCCCTTAAAAAAAAAAAACTCGAAACTAGCTCTATACCATGTGAGATAATTGACGAAAGAATGAATCAACTAGGAACTGAGATGGGTACAAGTAGAAAACATAAGTGTTGTACCCTCTAAGAGCTACCCCACTACAGCCTAAATAGACTATAGCAGATATAAGTTTGACAGTAAGTAGCAGGCAGGCAGCAGGCATGCAGCAGGCAGGCGGCAGGCAGGCGGCTGCAGGCAGCAAGCAGCAGGCAGGCAGCAGGCAGGCAGCAGGCAGGCTACAGGCAGGCGGCAGCAGGCAGCAAGCAGGCAGGCAGGCAGGAGGCAGGCTGCAGGCAGGCGGCAGCAAGCAGCAAGCAGACAGGCAGGCAGGCGGCAGGCAGGCGGCAGCAGGCAGCAAGCAGGCAGGCGGCAGCAGGCAGCAAGCAGCAGGCAGGCAGCAGGCAGGCAGCAGGCAGGAGGGCTGCGTGAGGCTGCTGGCTGCGTGTGGCGGCTTGCTGCACGAGGCTGCAGGCTGCGCGTGGCTACGGGCAGCGCGCGCGGCCGCAGGCTGCGTGCGGCGACGGAATGCGCGGGCTGCGGGCTGCGCGTGGCGACAGGCAGCGTGCGCGGCTGCAAGCTGCGTGCGGCTGCGGGCCGCTCTGGGCGACGGGCCGCACTAGCGTGGCTGCGGGCTGGTCGCTAAGCTGCGGGCTGCGCTGGGCAACGGGCCGCGCTAGCGTGGCCTAACCAGGTTGCGCGCGGGCGGCTTAAGGGGCGCACAGGTGGGGCCGAAACGGGCTGCGCGGGCTGCTAAAACGGCGCACGTGGGAAAAAAAAAAAAGGACCGCCCGAGGCGCGCGCGGGCAGCCGAGGCGCGCGTAGGCACTAGACAAGGCATGCAAGCGTGGTGGGCCCTAATCCTAGGTCCTAAGGACCTATGCTCTATACCATGTTAGAATCATAGGCAGAAAAAGTGATGTCGACTATCGAGAGGGTTGGTACAAAGAATGAACCTAAGGGGTTGTACCCCACAGTGTGTACCCCACTAAGCCTACCCAAACTATAACATAGATATACATATGTTTGACAGTTTAGGGCCCATTGTTAGTTCCGTTCTGCCCATTTTCCTGCCCGAATCGCACCCCTAGGCAGGCCGTGTCAAGCTTATATATGCTATAGTCTGTTTAGGCTGTAGTGGGGTAGTTGTTATAGGGTACAACACTTTTAGGTTTCCTACTTGTACCCAACTGCTTCCTAGTTCATTCATTCCTCTCATTATTCTCACATGGTATAGAGCAGGTTCCCTAGTGGGACCGTTTTTTTAAGGGCCCACCACTACGCATTTTTTTTTCCTTACCTGCCCGAAGAGCGCTTCGCGTTTGTCCTAGCTACGCCCCGTGCGCCTGCCCTTCGAGGCCCTTCGTGCCCCCCCCCCCCCCCCCCCCCCCCCTTTCGCGGCCCGTCGCGGCCCCTTCGCGGCCCTTAGCGGCCCCTCATACGGCCCTTCGCGGACCCTTCGCGGCCCTTCGCGGCCCCTTTCGCGGCCCTTCGCAGCCCCTTTCGCGGCCCTTCGCGGCGCGGCCCCTTTTGCGGCCCTTTGAGGCCCCTTCGCGGCCCTTCGCGGCCCCTCGCGGCCCTTCGCGGCCCCTTCACGGCCCTTCGCGGCCCTCTCCAAGGCTCTTCGCGGCCCCCTAAGCAGCTCTTCATGGCCCCTTCCGGCCCCTGCTGGCGCGCCCCTACCGGCCCCTGCTGACGCGCCCCTGCTGGTGCGCCCCTGCCGGCCCCTGCTGACGCGCCTCTGCCGGCCCCTACTGACGCGCCCCTACTGACGCGCCCCTACTGGCGCGCCCCTGCCGGCCCCTGCTGACGAGCCCCTGCCGGCCCCTACTGGCGCGGCCCCTGCAGTCACGGCCCGCCCCTGCACCCGTCTCTGGTAAGCCGAGCCGCGCCGCCCAGCCGAGCCGCGCCGCCCAGCCGAGCCGCGCCGCCCAGCCGAGCTGCGCCGCCCAGCCGAGCCGCGCCGCCCAGCCGAGCCGCGCCGCTCAGCCGAGCCGCGCCGCCCCCACCGAGCCGCACTGCCCTACCGAGCAGCACTGCCTTGCACTGCCCTGCTGCTACTGCTGCTACTGCTGCTACTGCTACTACTGCTGCTACTGCTCCTACTGCTGCTATGGCTAGTCCTACCGTTCTCACCTTTGATGCTGAGGGACGTGCAGTTGACTTTGACGTGTGGGTTGACGACCTACAGCTCTTTCTTCAATGTGATTCTAGGGATGGGGTATCCCTCTTCGATCACACGTCCGGTGTTTCCACTGCTCCTGCTGCCACTGCTGACAGTACTGTTCGCTCGCAGTGGACCACTCGTGACGCTGTTGCTCGTCTTGCTGTTCGTAGTCACCTGCCGCCTGCTGAGCGCGCACACTTTGGACAGTACAAGACTGCTCAGTCTTTGTACGACGCTGTAGTTGCACGCTACTCCTCCCCTGCCACTGCTGCCCTCAGCCGCCTCATGCTGCCGTACCTTTTCCCTGACCTTGCCGCCTTTGCCAGAGTCGCTGACCTAGTTGCTCACCTTCGCACTAGTGACACCCGCTACCGCGCTGCCCTTCCCACTGAGTTCTGTGCCAAGAACCCCCCCCCCATGTACATCACCCTTTACTACCTAGTCACCCGTCTCCCTGACTCCCTCTCTTCAGCCAGGGACCACTTTCTCTCCCTTTGCCCCACCGAGCTGACTGTCGACCTGCTAGAGGAGCGCCTTGCTGCAGCTGAGAAGAGTATCTTAGCTGTAGGTGCTTCTCGCGGCGACTGTCGCACCCCCTTCTTTGAGGGGTGTTCCCCTGTCCCCCTTCTCCCCTCTGTTGCTTCTGCTGCTGCTGTCGACCTCGTTGGCACTGAGGAGGTCGGAGCTGCGTCTGCCCCTAGTGGGAGACGCTGCATCAGCAAGGGCAAGGGGAGCAAGGGTGGTGGAGGGGGTGGCGGGGGAAGCAGTGGAGGAGGTGGAGGCGGCGGCGGAGGTGGCGGTGGAGGTGGGGGTGGTACTGGGAGTGGGGGCGTCAGTGGCGGCGGTGGAGGTCGTGGCGGCGGTGGCGGAGGTGGTGGAGGCAGCGGCAGCGGTGGTGGAGGTGGCGGCGGAGGTGGTGCTGGTCGAGGTGCAGCCGCTCAGCGTGGAGGCTTTGGTGGCAGCCAGCGCCAGCAGCAGCTGCGCACCCGTGAGACCCTGTCGGTTCAGCAGCTTCGTGAGTGGTACGCTGGGCGTGGGAGGTTTGGGGGTGCAGGTCCCTGCACTTACGTTCTTCACACCGGCACTCGTAGTGGGGAGGTGTGTGGGCTCCCACACACCACGCAGCGCTGCTTCGGTCGCTTGACTGACGCTTGGCGTACCCAGTTTCCTGACGCCGTTGAGCTCCCTCGCTGGCATGATCTGCTCCTGCAGAATGTGCCTATCTTTGATCTAGATTTCGATGCTATCCTTGCTGCCATGTATGCTCTTGCTGATAGTGCTGAGGGTGACTGTTACCTGAGTGTCCCGCCCGACCCGGGCATTGCGGCTGCTGCTCTAGGTGCTAGTGCGTCTGCTGCTCCAGGTGCTGGTGCGTCTGCTGCTCCACGTGCTGGTGTGCGTCTGCTCTCTCTGGTACTGCACCTACTGAGTCCTTGCACACTTTCACACTTGACTCTGGTGCTTCGCGCTCTTTCTTTAGAGACAGCACCATGCTCACGCCGCTCAGTCGGCCTGTTGCGGTCTCCCTTGCTGACCCCTCAGGGGGCCCAGTCCTTGCACACTCCTCCATGGTTCTACCGTGTCCTGCGGCCCCGTCGGGCTTGCTGTCGGGACTCCACCTCCCCTCGTTCTCTACGAACTTGGTGAGTGGAGCTGACCTCCAGGATGCGTGGGTTGACCAGTTCACCCCTGGAGGTCAGCGTGTGACCCACTGCACTTGCTCTCGGACGGGCCGCCACCTGGCCACGTTCACCCGTCGGCCAGGGTCGAGCCTCTACACACTGACTACTGCGCCTCCTCCGGTCCCTGCGTCTGGTCAGGTAGCTGCGTCCAGTCAGGTGTTTGCTGCCGCGTCCAGGTCTAGTCCTGCGTCTGCCCCCTGCTCGTGTCGTCCTCTGTCGCACGAGACTCTCCTTTGGCACCACCGCCTTGGTCACCCCTCCTTGCCTCGTCTTCGAGGTATGGCCTCCCGTGCCCTTGTCTCTGGTCTCCCCAGGTCCCTCCCTCCCCTTCCTCCGGGGCCTGCCCCCACCTGTGTTCCTTGTGTCGAGGGCCGGCAGCGCGCCGCTCCTCACTCCTCCTCGTTCCCTCCGACAGAGGCTCCTCTGCAGACTCTTCACATGGGCGTGTGGGGCCCAGCCCGCGTCCGTGGACAGGGTCACGAGCGTTACTTCCTGCTGGTCGTTGACGACTACTCGCGTTACACCACAGTCTTCCCCTTGCGCAGCAAGGGTGAGGTCCCTGAGGTGTTGATCGACTGGATCCGCGGTGCTCGTCGCCAGCTCAGTGAGAGTTTCGGCTCGGACCTTCCTGTTCTGCGTCTGCACTCAGACAGAGGTGGGGAGTTTTCCTCCGACCTCCTGAGAGCCTTCTGTCGTTCGGAGGGCATCCGCCAGACGTTCACGCTTCCGGCCTCCCCGCAGCAAAATGGGATTGCTAAGCGCCGCATTGGCATGGTCATGGACGTCGCTCGTACGTCCATGTTCCATGCGGCTACTCCCCATTTTCTGTGGCCGTTCGCGGTTCAGTACGCTGTGCATCAGATCAACCTTCAGCCTCGTGTCTCCTTGCCGGAGACCACACCTACTCTGCGGTGGACGCGCGTTCCGTGTCTGGGGATCTCGAGCTTTTGTCCGCGATACTACAGCGGACAAGTTGTCCTCCCGTGCCGTTCCCTATGTCTTCCTTGGCTTCCCTCCTGACGCACCCGGGTGGCGGTTCTACCACCCCACCTAGCGTCGTGTTCTGTCCTCTCAGGACGTCACGTTTGACGAGTCGGTGTCATACTACCGTCTCTTTCCCTACCGCACTCCCTCTCTCCCCCCCCCGCCGCTCTTCCTAGCACCAGGTACTCCCCCGGTAGACCCCCTCCCCCCGCAGGGTCCTGCCCCCTCAGGTGTGTCCCAGGTAGACCCTGCCGAGCCGGTCGAGGTAGCTGTCGACTCAAGTGCTACTAGGGGTGCTGGGCCTGCGGGTGCGGGGACTGGGGGTGCTGAGCCTGAGAGTGTGGAGCCTAGGGGTGCTGAGTGTGGGGGTGCTGAGTCTGGGCGTGCTGAGCCTGGGGGTGCTGAGCCTGGGAGTGTGGAGCCTGAGGGTACTGTGTCTGGAGGTGCTGAGCCTGCACGTGCTGCGTTTGGAGGTGCTCTAGGTGTCCCGTTGCGGCGGGAGCCTCTCTCTCCTCAGCAGCTTCGTGAGTGGTACTCTCGGCGCTGTCGAGGTGCTGCTGGTGCTGGTGCTGCTGGAGCTGCTGTAGGTGCTGCTGGTGCTGCTGGAGGTGCTGCTGGTGCTGGAGGTACTGCTGGTGCTGGAGCTGCTGGAGGTGCTGCTGGTGCTGGAGGTACTGCTGGTGCTGGAGCTGCTGGAGGTGCTGCTGGTGCTGGAGCAGCTGGAGGTGCTGCTGGTGCTGGAGCTGCTGGAGGTGCTGCTGGTGCTGGAGGTACTGGAGGTGCTGCTGGTGCTGGAGCTGCTGGTGCTGCTGGTGCTGGAGCTGCTGGAGGTGCTGCTGGTGCTGGAGCTGCTGGAGGTGCTGCTGGTGCTGGAGCTGCTGGAGGTGCTGCTGGTGCTGGAGCTGCTGGAGGTGCTGCTGGTGCTGGAGCTGCTGGAGGTGCTGCAGGTGCTGGAGCTGCTGGAGGTGCTGCTGGTGCTGGAGCTGCTGGAGGTGCTGCTGGTGCTGGAGCTGCTGGACGTGCTGCTGGTGCTGGAGCTGCTGGACGTGCTGCTGGTGCTGGAGCTGCTGGAGGTGCTGCTGGTGCTGGAGCTGCTGGAGGTGCTGCTGGTGCTGGAGCTGCTGGAGGTGCTGCTGGTGCTGGAGCTGCTGGAGGTGCTGCTGGTGCTGGAGCTGCTGGAGGTGCTGCAGGTGCTGGAGCTGCTGGAGGTGCTGCTGGTGCTGGAGCTGCTGGAGGTGCTGCTGGTGCTGGAGCTGCTGGACGTGCTGCTGGTGCTGGAGCTGCTGGAGGTGCTGCTGGTGCTGGAGCTGCTGGAGGTGCTGCTGGTGCTGGAGCTGCTGGAGGCGCTGCTGGTGCTGGTGCTGCTGGAGGTTTTGCTGGTGCTGGAGCCGCTGGTCCTGGAGGTGCTCGTACTGGAGGTACTGGAGCTGCTGGGGCTGGTGGTGCTGCAGGCGTTGAGGCTGCAGGTACTGGAGCTGGTGGTGCTGCGGGAGTTGTAGCTGGAGACCCTGAAGGTACTGGTGCTGTCTCTGCTATTCCTGGACACGCTGCGAGGCCGCGGCCATACTACGTTTCGCTCCTTCAGCAGGTTCTTGGTCTACAGCCTTCTCCTGGTCCTACTCCTCCTCTACTGAGTCCACCGCCTGTCCAAACACAGTCGCAGTTACAGCCGGCCTCTCCCCTGCCTGATCCTTCTCCTTACTCTGGACCGACTAGAGGCCTTACGGAGGGTCGTGAGTTTGAGTCGCGTCCTGTGTCGCCTGAGTCTCGTTCTGAGTCGTCTGTCCGCACTGTTTGCGCTGGTCGTCGTGTTTCGCGTCCGCGTCCTCCTCCTATCCCTGGCACTCACTCTATGACTCTGCGTCCTTCCACTGCTCCACAGCGTGTCCCTCTGCCATCTCCTCCTGCGTCCTCTCTTCCTGACGGTCCGGACCCGGAGTCTGACTCCCTTCGTGCTTCTAGTCCTACTGTCATGCGTTTTCTAGCCACTGCTGTCACTGACCCTTTGTTTGAGTCCACTGCTGCGTCTGCTCTCGTTGCTGAGCTTGTTGACTTTGCTGCAGCCTGTCGCCTAGACTACGCCACTAGTCTTGTTGTTGAGTCTGCGTCTGCATCTGCCTGTCCTCCGTCCGTCGGGGGTGAGTGTGCTCTTGCACGGACGTTCTTGAGGACAGACAGGAGGAGTTTGAGTGCTTTGCCGCTGCTGTACCTCATCTCGCGTCCATGCTGCTTGCCCCTGAGGGAGACCCAGATGCACCAGACATCCCGACCCCGCGCTCTTACGCAGAGGCGATAGAGGGTCCGTACTCCTCTCAGTGGCAGGCAGCCATGGACGCCGAGATGGCTTCCTGGAAGTCCACAGGCACCTACGTCGACGAGGTTCCCCCGCCTGGGGCGAACATCGTCAGTGGCATGTGGATCTTCAGGGTGAAGCGGCCGCCGGGTTCTCCGCCTGCCTTCAAGGCGCGTTACGTTGCACGTGGCTTCAGACAGCGACAGGGAGTTGACTTCTTCCAGACCTTCTCCCCTACCCCGAAGATGACCACTCTTCGGGTACTGCTGCACGTAGCTGCTCAGCGTGACTACGAGCTCCACTCGCTTGACTTCAGCACAGCCTTCCTACAGGGCAGCCTGCACGAGGAGATCTGGCTGCGCCGCCCACCTGGCTTCACTGGGTCGTTTCCTACTGGTACCCAGTGGAGCCTCCGGCGGCCAGTCTACGGTCTCCGCCAGGCACCTCGTGAGTGGCACGACACACTGAGGACGGCTCTTGCTACTCTTGGTTTTGCTCCTTCCACTGCTGACCCTTCACTGTTTTTACGCACTGACACCACTCTGTCGTCGTTCTACGTTCTCGTGTACGTAGACGACCTCGTCTTTGCTACTGCTGACACTGAGGCACTCGCCCACGTGAAGTCCGAGCTGCAGAAGAGACACACGTGCACAGACCTAGGTTAACTGACAAGCTATCTTGGCTTGCGGATCACCCGGGACAGAGCACAGCGCACCATTACCTTGACTCAGTCACACATGGTGCAGCAGGTCCTTCAGTGCTTCGGCTTCACGTACTCCTCGCCACAGTCCACTCCTCTGCCTACCGGTCACTCGCTCTCAGCTCCACCTTCGAACGAGTCCGTAGAGCTGAGTGGCCCGTATCCAGAGCTTGTGGGCTGCCTCATGTACCTGATGACTTGCACACGACCTGACCTCGCATACCCTCTCAGCCTTCTGGCTCGCTACGTGGCTCCCGGTAGGCACCGAAAGGTGCACTGGGATGCTGCGAAGAGGGTGTTGCGCTACTTGTGCAGTACGTCGGGCATGGGGCTCGTGCTTGGAGGACAGGCTCGAGTTGTCCTCACTGGTCACGCTGACGCCTCCTGGGTTGACGACTTGGCTATGCAGCGGTCGTCACAGGGTTACACCTTCAGTCTTGGCTCCGGCTCTGTTTCTTGGCGGTCTACCCGCTCGTCTTCTGTTCTTAGTTCCAGTTGTGAGGCTGAGATCTACGCTGGAGCCATGGCTGCACAGGAGTTACGCTGGCTCACCTACCTGCTGACCGGCTTGGGAGAGGTGCCTCATTCTCCTCCAGTTCTGTACGTCGACTACAAGGCCATGCTTGCTTTGTGTCAGGAGCACAGACTGGAGCACAGAACGAAGCACATTGCTCTGCGCTACTTCCTTGCTCGAGAGTTGCAGCAGCGTGGCCAGCTTCGTCTCGCTTACGTGGCCTCACAGGCCAACATTGCTGATGTTTTCACCAAGGCACTTCAGCCTTGTGATCATCAGCGTTTCTGTACTGTTCTAGGCCTTGTACCTACTGTGCCTCACTTGCTTACTTCTTGACTCTGCTTGTACTGTACTCTATATACATATACCTGCATGCTTACACTTGCTAGGTTGTGTTCACTGTATTGTTTGTTTTCTTTTATATAGCTCTGCATGTGAACTGGCCTTGTGGCCATTTGCTTGTGCTCAGACTGCGTGGTGACTTTGTGATCCACCCTGAGCTTGCTTTGCCTTTCTTGACTGGTCTTGTGACCTCTTGTTCTCCCCCACTTTGCCTATGGGGGTGTGTCAAACTTATATGCTATAGTCTGTTTAGGCTGTAGTGGGGTAGTTCTTATAGGGTTCAACACTTTTAGGTTTGCTACTTGTACCCACCTGCTTCCTAGTTGAATCATTCATTCGTTCTATATTCTAACAGTCGTGACACAGTCATGACTATTCCGTCGCTTCCACGTAAGACACACATGGGGGATGGAGGACGACCTAATCCCCGTGATAATCTCGCTAGTCAACAATGTGCAGTCCGCGTACATCTACTCAGACAGTCGTGAATACTCCGTCGCTGCCTCGTCAGATGCTTGTTTGGGCTTGTGGGAGCGTGAATAAAAATGTTTGTTGCACATGATAACACAAACTTCGAATCGTGTATAAATAAAACCAGTATAACAGTTTCTACCCCACCCACATAAATTGCCATGATAGACAGGCAGAGATTAGAAAGGAAATTATGGTCTCTTGGCGACAAAGGTGTGCATTAATACAATGCTGCGATCAGATGTTGATCAAACCTAGGATCACCACTGGAAGGTCAGCACACAGTTGGTATGTAGTATTTGGACTTGGTCTCAATTCAGAGTGGATGTAAAATGATTGGAATAAATAAATACATGGAAACACAGAAATATGAATTAGAGTACAACGGAAAACGAATCGACCTAGGATAGGCATGTACTCATGAGTGTTAAGGATAACGTCAAGAGGTTACGTAAAATTAAGGCTGAATTGTGACCGTGCAAACCAGACGAGAGCAACCGAAGCATGCTGGACACTGGGCAGCATATGACATGTATGTTGCGTAACGTGGGATTTACATTATTTTTTTATATAAACCTTATGCATTGTTTGTGTGAATGCCTTTGGATGTGTATACAAGTTTCGTCTACATAGAAATAGAAGTACGTACCTGCGCCCATATTGAAACGAATGTACAACTGTGGCCCCATGTTTGTGCCCGGACTACTTGGTGATCGTGACATCCACACTGAGCTTTGCTGCATTTCTTGTGGATTGCACATTTGTACCCCATCCACTTTATTGTGTGTTCATTCTGCTATGCATAACTGGTCTGGTAGAGTTGTTATTTCTTCATGCACACAATGATAGGGGCATATCCCCTGAGTCCTGGAACCTTTTGTTCCCTAGTCCATTCAGTTTGTGTGATATGTTTGTGTTTGCGATTTAGGGTTTCACGATTTAAAATGTTTGATTCCATTATTTGGAGTGTTCACCTCGTTGCATGTACTTTCGCGGATGTCACAGGGAAATCCTAGTGTGCATGAATCCGTCGATCTGGATGTCAGAAATTGACAGCTCTTCACGCATTCGTCACGATTGAGCATCTGGACCTCGAACCAATCAGAGCATGACGCTTGGATCGTTGATGTAGAAGTGATGGTTCGAGGCCATTCAAGCGATTTCCATGTCCCATCACAACCCCCCCGTGAACATCTCGTCATTGGCCAACTGTCCCTGTGATGCTCGTTGCGTGCTTGTCAATCAGAGTTAGCAGTTATGCTCGTCCATCACAACCTCCAGCTCCCAAAGCTCAGTATATCTACAGGGCATAATTCCGTGAAGGCATTTAGGCTGTGAGAATAGGAATGAATGATGGATCACTAGCAAACATTGGGATACATATAGCAAACCCTAATAGGGTTGTACTCACTACAGAGTACCCCACTGCAGACTAGAGAAACATAATATTCTGACACACCCCCATAGTCAAAGTGGGGTATGATCAGCACAACAAGCAAAGCAAAGCAAGCTCAGGGTGGATCACAATGTCACCACACATTCTGAGCACAAGTACAAGAAGCAACAGTTTAAAGTTCACAAATGTAAGCAAAGCTAGAGGCTATCGCAGAGGGCAAGTGTGGAGGAGGAGGGACTATGAGAGGAGAGGAGGTAGTGGGCGGCAGCTGAAGCTGCTGGCACATGGCACAACTGGAGCAACTGGCACACGGGCAACTGGAGCAACTGGCACACTGGCAACTGGAGCAACTGGCACACGGGCTACTGGAGTAACTGGCTCCGCGGCTAACTCTGAGCGGCAGGAGCAACGGACTCACGGGCGACTGGAGCAACTGGCTCACGGGCGACTGGCGCAACGGGCTCACGGGCGACTGGCGCAACGGTCTCACGGGCGACTGGAGCTGCGGGCTTCACGGCGGCCACCCCCCTTCAACCTCCCCAAACTATCCCACCCCCCTTTCACACACCCCTTGCTGCACTCTAGGTTCACTCGCACCCCACCCCCAAGCACCACTCTTTTGGCTCCCACACATCCACCCCCCTCAGCGGCAGCTGCAGCAGTGGGAGACAGAGGAGGAGGAGGAGCAGGGGAGTCCACACACCCGCCACCCCCTACTCGCCACCCCCAAACCCTAACACAGGACAGGGCGGGATGGCGGGTAGGGAGGTTACGGGGGGGGGGGGGGGTGATTACGGGGGCCGACGCGCGGCCTCCCATGGCGCCAGAACAGGCGGAAGAAGGGGCGACGCGCGGCCCCCCAGGTCGCCCCTCCCGTCGCCTTTCGTGGCGACCTGGGGGGGGGCCGCGCGCGGATCACAGGGACATCTCGTCACCGCCACCGCCGCCTCCGCCTCCACCGCTGCCACCGAAGCCCCCACTTCTGCCTCCACCCCCACCCCCACCCCCTCCTTCGCCTCCACCGCCACTACCTCCTCCCCCGCCACCTCCTCCAGCGCCCTTGCCCCGCTTGCCCTTGCCGGTGCGGCGCCTCTCGCTAGGAGCAGACGCAGTGCTGACTGACTCGGTGCCAACAAGGTTGACAGCAGCAGCAGAGGCAACGGAGGGCAAAAGAGGAACGGGGGAGCACCCCTCAAAGAAAGGGGTA